TTCCTTTCCTGGATTTGGTATTAGGGTGATACTGGCTTCATAGAACAATTTGGAAGTATTCCCTCTTTATCTTGTGAAATAGTGTCAGTAGGATTGGTTCCAGTTCTCGTTTGAATGGTAGAATTCAGCTGTGAATCCATCTAGATGGATATCATAATTTCTATCTGACATTTTTGCTTTTTCATTTTTCTAAAAATGTTTCCAGGTGTACCAGTCCTACTTCCACCACTTGTTTTAGTGTCTGTGCCCTTATCATAAAGAGTCCATAGTGTAAAAGAAGTCAGAAGCAGTCTTAGGCCATCAAAACCCTTGTGCCAGATTGTCCCATGTCAATTTGTTTTCTGGCACCACTGCTTCCACGTTTTCTGCCCTATTTTCTGGCAGTGGTTCAGAAGCACTCATGTCCATCAAGTCATCTTCTGTTAATTCTTCTGGTATAGTGTCTACTAGCTCTCAAATTTCTCCAAGATCCGTATCTTGAAACCCTTCACTCTCCACATTTAAGACATGTCTACAGTCTGTTTCATGATTTCTTTGATTGGCCCTGTTGTAAATCCTGTAAAGTAATGCATAACCTCTGGACTCAGTTTTCTCCGGCAGGAATTGATTGTCTTGGGCCTGATGGCTTTCATGGCTTTCTCTGTAAACAGTGGAGACATTTTCAATGGTATAATTCTTCCAGACTTGTGATGTTCTCTCTATCTGAGTTCTCTTCGATAGTGCTGACACTCCTTTCTATTAATATAAAGTACCATGTGTAATGAGCCTTATAAGTCCTTAGGACCCTCAATCTAGAAGCTGAATTAGAGATTTTTTTTTTTTGTCATTGTTTGTTTTTTGTCTTTTTTTGTTTTGGTTGGTTGGTTGGTTGTTTTTTTTTGAGATAGAGTCTTGCTCTGTTGCCTACACTGGAGTGCAATGGCGCGATCTTGGCTCACTGCAGTCTCTGCCTCCCAAGTTCAAGCAATTCTTGTGCCTCAGCCTCCCGAGTAGCTGGGATTAGAGGTGCCTGCCACCACGCCTGGCTAATTTTGTATTTTTAGTAGAGATGGGGTTTCACCATGTTGATCACGCTGGTCTTGAACTCCTGACCTCAGGTGATCCTCCCACCTCAGCCTCCCAAAGTGCTGGGATTACAGGCATGAGCCACAGTGCCCAGTCAAGATGTTGTTTTTAGGGGGGCAAGTAGACGACTTCAAGACCTTTGGTTTTAAACTCAGGGTTCTGGGTGGCCAGAAGCAATGTCCAATATCAAAAGAACTTTAAAAAGCATTCCCTTACTAATAAGATAACTTCCTGACTTCATGGACAGAGCACCCATAGAGCCAATCCAGAAAATGGGTTCTCATCCAGACCTTCTTGTTCAACCAGGAGACTGGCAGCTGGTGTTTACCTTTTCCCTTCAAGGTTCAGGGATTAGTAGCTTTATAAATAAGCGCAGTCTTGATTATAAACCTGACTGCATTTGTACAAAATAGTAAAGTTAGCCTATCCCTTTTTTGCCTTAAATCCTAGTACTCACTTCTCTTTTTTACTAATAAATGTCCATTGTGGCATTTTTTTTTTCTAAATAGGGCACTTTGCACCGGCACTAAAAACCTGTTAAGAAAAAACAACAACAAAAAACCTGTTCAGGCAAAGATTCTGTCTCTTCAGTGATTTTTGTAGTGGCAACTAGGAGCTTGTCTGCTATCTCTTGGTTGGCAGAAGCTGCTTCTTGGTCAGCAGAAACTGTCTCTCCTATTTTTTGGCATTTTAAAAAGTCAAACCTCTTTCTAAAATTATCAAACCATCCTTGGCTGGCATTAAATTCTGCAGCTTTAGATCCTTTACTTTCCCTTTACTTTGTCATACTTTACTTTTTCTCAAATCATTAGTCTATAGGTATACTTTTTTTAATAGCAATCCTATATCCACATAAAAGCTGTATTTTCTATATGAGATAAAATGGTATTTCTAGGCTGGGCATGGTAGATCACACCTGTAATCCCAGCACTTTGGTTGGCTGAGACAGGTGGATCACGAAGTCAGGAGTTGAAGACCAGCCTGGCCAAGATGCTGGAACCCTATCTCTACTAAAAATATAAAAATTAGCCAGGTGTGATGGCACTTGGCTGTAATCCCAGCTACTCGGGAGGCTGAGGCAGGAGAATCACTTGGACCTGGGAGGCAGACATTGCAGTGAGCCAAGCTGGCGCCATTGCACTCTAGACTAGATGACAGAACCAGACTCTAGCTCAAAAAAAAAATTGTTTTATTACTAAAAACAATAAGCACTTTTCCATATGTTTACTTTCTGTTTTGGGGTTTTGCTTTTTTAAAACTTTTTTTCATGGCTAGGCGCCATGGCTCACACCTTCAATCCCAGCACTTTGGGAGGCCAAGGTGGGTGGATCACCTGAGGTCAGGAGTTCAAGACCAGCCTGACCAACATAGTGAAACCCTGTCTCTACTAAAAAAATACAAAATTAGCTGGGCATGGTGGTGGGCGCCTATAATCCCAGCTACTCCAGAGGCTGAGGCAGGAGAATCGCTTGAAACTGGGATGCGGGGGTTGCAGTGAGCCAAGATCCCACCATTGCCCTCCAGCCTGGGCAACAAAAGTGAAACTCCATCTCAAAAAAAAAAAAAAAAAAAAGAAAAGAAAAGAAAATCTTTTTTCATTAAATTTTGAATATATTGAAAATAATATTTATAACATTTGCTATTAAAGAATAGGAAGAAAAACAGTCATGTGTCTACCACCCAGCCTAAGAAATCAAGCATCAAGCATGACCATGACTTTGAGATCCCCTCCCTATGTGTTTCTCTGATATCATTTCCCTCCATTCCTTCAGGGGTAACCAATATCCTGAATTTCGTATTTATTATTTCCTTTCTTGTCTTCATAGTTCTATCATAAATGGTTCCCTAAATAACATATTTTGTTTTGCAATTTTTTAACTTTAACATTGTTTTAACTTTAACATTGTTGTGTGACTTGCTGTTTTTGGTGTTTGTGAGATATATCTATAGTAAATGTTGCCTTAGTTAATTTATTTTTACATATTCCATTTTATGAATATGCCATGATTTATTCATTCTTCTGTTAATGGATATTTTGGTTGCTTCCTGTTTTGTTTTTAGTTACCAAGAGTACTACTTGAATATCCCTCTACCTGAATATCCCTCTACCTATTTGTGGACATACATGTACAAGATATTTTTCTAGGAGTTAAAATTAAGAATAGTGTTGTTGGTTCATAGGTTCATCCTCAATCAGATGATGCCACATTTTTTTTTTCCAAAGTGTTTAAGCCAAATTTACATTCCCATCAGTAGCATTTGAGTTCCTATTACAATATATCCTCACCAATACTTGATATTATCTAACATTGTAACTTTCACCAACTAGTGGATGTGAAACAATAGGTAGTCCTGGATTAAATTTGCATTTCCCTGATTACCAAAGAGGTTGAATATCTGTTCTTGTGTCTGCTACTCATTTCTCTTCCCTCTTTTGTAAATTACACATTCAAGTCTTTTGCCATTTTCCTATTGGATTATTTTCCTTACTGATTTCTAAGGGTATTTGTGTGTTTTGGATGTTTATCATTTCTTAATATCACAAATATCTTCTCTGAATTTGAGACGTCATTTTTTTCCCTACAAACAGAAGTTCTTAAATTTAATTAAATGAGTTGATCTTTTCCTTTATCAATGTAGGTTAAACAAAGGGTGGGGGAGGCAAAAAAAAAAAAAAAAAAGAGAGAGAGAGAGAGAGAAAGAAAGGAAAAGAAAAGAAAGCAAGCTTTTTTTACTTTAAAAAAAAAAAAATGTGCCTGCAAGAGCCAGTCGCTGTGGTGAGTGCTGTAGTCCCAGCTACATAGGAGGCTAAAGTAGAATGATGGCTTGAGGCCAGAAGTTCAGGTCTACATAGTGAGACCCTATCTCTTTAAAAAATCCATTTGCAATTTATTTTTATATATGGTTCAAGGTAGGGATCAGTTTGATTTTTGTCCATACTGGTGACTAATAATGATCTCAGTATCATTTATTGAATATGGTATAAGATATAGTTTAGGGGCTTTTCTCTCCCTTACAGATATCCCGTTGACTCATTACCACTTAAAAAGATTTCCCTTTCTCCACTGGTTTGCAGTGTCATCACTTTATAAATTAAGCACCCGTGTTTATGTGCATATGTTTCTGTGATCTTTATTCTCGTACAGTGCTCTATTTATCTCTCTTTCAGCTAATGTCATGCTGTCTTAACTACTGCCACTTTAGAAGCTTTGCTGTGTGGCAGAGCAATTCCTCTCACCTTGTTTTGTTGAAGGACTATTGTTGGCTGTTTTCTTTTTACATAAATTTTAAATTTTAGAATCAATTTGTCACTCCACTCAAAAAAAACCTGAATTTATAGATCAATTGGAAGAGAATTGACATCAGTCCATGAATATGGTATATTTTTCCATTTACTTAGGTCTTTTAAATGTTTTCTTAATGCTATTTAAATTTTTTTGTGTAGAGGCCTTATACATTTTTAAATTTATTATTTAGTAATGATTTTATTAATGTTATCTTTTAAATTGTGTTTTCTGCTTCCTGCTGTACCAAAAATTAGTTGACTTTATTTATTTATTTATTTTTTTGAGATAGGGTCTCACTTTGTCACCCAGGCTGGAGCAGGTGCAGTGGTGTGATCATGGCTCACTGCAGCCTTGACCTGCTGGATTTAAGTGATCCTCCTGCCTCAGCCTCCCAAGTAGCTGGGACTTCAGGTGTTCACCACTATACCAAATTTTTTACTTTATTTTTGTCGTAACAGGGTCTCACTATGTTGCCCACACTGATCTCTCATTCCTGGGCTCCAACAGTCCTCTGTTCTCAGCCTGCCAAAGCTCTGGGATTACATGTGTGAGCCTCTATGCCCGCCTGCAGTTGACTTTATATATTACTTTTACATGAGAATTTTACCAGACTTATGTATAAATTCTGATAATTTATCTGTAGAATCTTTTTCTTATAATGATAGTACCTCCAGTACTGTGTTGACTAGGAATAGAGAGGCCATTTTCTTGTTCCTCATTCTAAAAGGGTTTTCACTGAACATGTTTGCCAAAGGTTTTTTATAGATTTTTAATTAGGTTAAAGGACTACCCACCTATTTGTAGTTACGCAAAGAGTTTTTAATATGACACGTTTTTAAAAAGTTTATCAAGTGCTTGTTTTCTGTATCTCCTTTAATTTTTTAATGGGGTAAGTTACATTTATCGGTTTTATAACCTAACTTTTTTTTTTTTTTTTTTTTTTTTTTGAGACAGAGCTTTGCTCTTGTTACCCAGGCTGGAGTGCAATGGCACGATCTCGGCTCACCGCAACCTCCGTCTCCTGGGTTCAGGCAATTCTCCTGCCTCAGCCTCCTGAGTAGCTGGGATTACAGGCACGTGCCACCATGCCCAGCTAATGTTTTGTATTTTTAGAAGAGACGGGGTTTCACCATGTTGACCAGGATGGTCTTGATCTCTTGACCTCGTGATCCACCCGCCTCGGCCTCCCAAAGTGCTGGGATTACAGGCTTGAGCCACCACGCCTGGCCCATAACCTAACTATTAATTTATTCCAGGGCTAAAAAATGTGGCTAGTGAGGTACCTTACGCCTGTAAATCCCAGCATTTTGGAAGGCCAAGGCAGGCAGATCGCATGAGTTCAGAAGTTTGAGACCAGCCTGGGCAACATGGTGAAGCCCTATCTGCTAAAAATACAAAAACTAGCCAGGCATGGTGGTGCATGCCTGTAGTCCCAGCTCGTTGGGAGGCTAAGGTAGGAGGATCCCTTGAGCCTAGGAGGTCAAAGCTGCAGTGAGCTCAGGTCAAGCCACTGTACTTTGGCCTGGGCAAAAGAGCAAAACTCTGTCTCAAAAAAAAGAAAAGAAAAATACTTGGGGGGTATGTGTGTCTGTATGTTTAATACATTGGTACAAGTTTCCTACTAAAATTGTCCATCAGTATCAATGGGGAATTGGTTCCAGGGCCTTCTGTGGATACCAGAATCCAGATGAGCTCTATATTTTATATAAAATGGTATAGTACTTGCATATAACCTGTGTACATCCTCCTGTATGCTTTAAATTATTTTTAGAATTCTTAAAATACCTAATATAATGTAAATAGTTGAATACTGTATTGTTTAGGAAATAAGGCCAAGATAAACGTCTATATATGTTCAACACAGTTTTGTTTTTTATTTATTATTACGGTCCCAGATCGGTCTAATTCATTAATGCAGATAGGGAGGGCCAACTGTGTTATGTTTGGAAGTTCTACAATTTTTTTATGGATGTGCTTTGGATTAAAATTTTTTTCTTATAGTCTTCATTAGGTTTTGGTATCCCAGCTTTGAAATATGAGTTGGGAACTCCCCTCAAGAATAGTTACTTTCCCCTATACTCTGGAATCATTTTTTTAATATATTCTGGAATAATTGTTTTACATTGGGGTTGTTGGTCCTTAGAATGTTGAGTAGAATTTAGTGTTTTCTTCGTAGATAGATTTGTGACAGTTGATTCAATTTATTTGATTATTTTAGTATTAGTGACATTTTTTTCTTCATTCTGTTTTGCTAAATTATATTAATCTAGATTAACAGATTATATATTAATAATTTAGCAAAAAATCTGCATTAATCTATTAATATCAATTAATAATTTGGGAGGGTACATTAAACTGTTCAATTGTATTGGCCGGGTGCCGTGGCTGACTCCCTGTAATCCCAACAGTGTGGACAGCCGAGGCAGGCAGATCACTTAAGGCCAGGAGTAAGAGACCAGCCTGGCCAGCGTGGAGAAACTCCATCTCTACTAAAAATACAATAACTAGCGGGGTATGGTGGCATGTGCCTGTAGTCCCAGCTACTCAGGTGGCTAAGTACAAGAATTGCTTGAACCCAGAAGATGCAGTGAACAGAGATCATGCCACTGCACTCCAGCCCGAACGACAAAGACTCTGTCTCAAAAAAAAAAAAAAAAAAAAAAAATGTACGTAATATCTTCTATGCCTTTTAAAACTTCTGCTGTATTTAACTTTATGTCCCATTTTAAGTTTCTGTTGGGGATATTTGACCTCTTTCATTTAATTTTGCTAGAGCTGTCTGTTTTTTTAGTTTTTTCAAAGAACCAACTTTTGTAATTTCTGATACTCATATATTTTAAAATTTTATTTCCTTCCTAATACTTTAAGTTGCTTAGCTCTTCAGTATTAGCCTTCTAATACAAGCATTTGAGGCTATGCATTTTCTACTAAGCATCACTTTAGTGGCATTCCACAAACATAGAGAGAGATATATATTATTTTTAAATATCCTTTTCTTCATTGTCTCTCGGGGTCCAGATATTTTTCTCAAATATTTGAATAACTTGGATAAAGGACTGTCATCAAAATCTATTCATTTAAGAACTATTTGAACACAGGGAAAGCACTGTGCCAGATGGCATTGTGCCACATAAATGAGCATGATTACATCCCTGAAAGAGCTTCTAGTCAAGTGGTGATATGAAAAAAATACCTTCAGATAATTTTCAATTTAATGACAACTGGAAGTAAATGTGTAGTAGATTTTAAAGGAACTCAGCTTTAAACCTAAAACAAAAGAGGATTATTTAACATTCAGCTAAAAATCTAAATGACTTCATCATGGTTAATACACACACATACATTTTGAGACAGTCTCACTCTGTTGCCCAGGCTGGAATGCAGTGGTGCAATTTCAGCTCACTGCAACCTCCACTTCCTGGGCTCAAGCGATCCTCTCACCTTAGCCTCATGAATAGCTGGGATTACAGGAGTGCACCACCATGCCTGGCTAATCTTTGCATTTTTTTGTAAAGATGAGGTTTTGCCATGTTGCCCAGGCTGGTCTCAAACTCCTGGGCTCAAGTGATCTGCCTGCCTCGACCTCCCAAAATGCTGGAATTACAGGCATGAGCCACCACGCCTGGCCTGTATTGTGTGTGTGTATTTAAGCCCACATTTATAGTGTGTTGTGTCATCAAGCCCACATATATATAGTGTGTGTGTATGTGTGTATGCCATTAAACCCACAAACTATGCCAGAAGTAATCTCTTGATAACATGCTATTTTTCCTAGGTGTGAAGATGCCTTAAGAAAAAATAAGAGCTTAATTGGGCCAGATCAAAAGGAGTATCAAAGGGAACTGGAGAGAAACTATCATCGCCTTAAAGAGGCCCTACAGCCACTGATCAACAGAAAGATCCCTCAGTTATACAAGGCAGTATTGCCTGTTACCTGCCACAGGTATGTTTATTTTTACATGGTTTTAGATATTCTTTCCTCTGAACCCTAAAATGTTCAACTAGTATAAGTTTTTTTTGCAGCTCAAGTATCTCCTATCTGAAAAGCTTAGGACCAGAAGTGTTTGGGGTTTCAGATTTCTTTTTCAGACTTTGGAATATTCACATTTTACTTACTGGTTGAGTATCCCTAATCCAAAAAATCTGAAATGCTCCAATGAGTATTTCCTTTGAGTATCATGTCAGCACTTTAAAAGTTTCTGATATTAGAACATTTAAGATTTTTGGATTAGGGATACTCAACCTGTATCATCTATAATGATTCTACAAGGTAAGTAACTTGAAAATCAAAAGGTTGGTACTCATATGAACCAGGACACCACACAAAGTCCTGTCATTAACTTGGAATTTTCTACAACTAAATTCTAGTTCTATTATTTAAGCAGATAATTTTTTTAGATTTCTTCTCTGTATAATGAGATAGAACTTAAAGAGGTTGTTGTGGAGATTAAATGACATTTCAGATGTAAAGTTCCTAGGACAGTGCCTGACATTTCACTTTATAGCACCAGAATTCTGGAAAGGACACAAAAACTGCAAAAAGTAAACTTTCTTGCATTTTGAAATCAAATTTACATACTAGTATTGAAGATGGTTTCCTCAAAATTCCCAGTAGGAAACACTAATCCCCTCCACTTTTGGTTTCCCCTTAAGTCTTTTTGGAAGTTTTTCCTTCTTGCTGCTTCCACCCGCCCTCTCCCAGTCTTATACTTACCAGGTCAGAGATCCCAGAGAGCCAGGGTGCTGAGTCCCTGAGATAGAGCTGCCTAATCCTCGTCTCAGTTCCTTCAGATCTCCAACTCTTTTCAATTGGAAAGGCTGTATTCTTCCCGAAGGAAACTTTGCCTTATACTTTGCCTTGTAAGTTTTGCCTTCCTCTATGATCTGCTTTTTGGCCGGTCCTCCAAGCTTTAGTTCTTAATATTTGTAGGCAGTTTTGTGGAATTTAGAAGGAAACCTTTTACTGATGAATACTATCTAGCTTTCAAGACTGTTTCCCTTCAAAGCAAGCTTTGAGGTTTGAAGCCTATGTGATTTCTCTGTACTTGCCTTTTCCTTTCCTGGAGATATTAAGCTTCTTAATATGGCTTAACCTTAATGGCAGGAAGGATAAGCAAAAGAAACCAACTGATAACAGAAAATACATTAAGTGTATTCCAGGAATATCATTCCCTTCACTCTTGTTTAGAATTTAAGTTTTAAATTCTTCTTTAGGATTTGAATTTTTAATTTTGCTGGTTTTATGAAATCAGGAATATTTTGCAGTAGGGATCCTGGACCCATGAGAGGAGAGTCCCTAAGATCCTTTAAAGAATTTCCCTAAGTCAAAACTAATTTCATATTAATGCCAAATATTAGCCTTTTCTCACTTCTTCTCTTGTGAGGGTACAGTGGAGTTTTCTACAGATTGGAAAAGATTGACTATAGAATCAGATGTAAGAACATAGGCCTTATATTAAGCGACACTCTTACATGAGTACCACTCTCCTAAAGCTTCTTGCAAGTCATTTTTAATAAGCAATGCTATATATAGTAACATGTAATGGATTATTTTATAGTAACTTAAGATTTTCTTAATTTTAATTTCTAATATGATAAACATCCATATATAGCCCACATAAAAGATTCCTGGGGTTCTCAATAATGTTTAAGAGTGTAAAAAGGACCTGAAACAAAATTTGAGAACAACTGGTTTAAGACTTAAATTTAAAGAAACACCTGCCTTTTGACATTGAAAAACTCCACACTTTTCCTGAAATCTCTCATTATCCCTTAAGTCCTTGTCTTGTTTATTACAGTATCTGCAGCATCAGTTGGAGAAATGAATACAACCAACCAGTAAGTGGTGACTATAAACCACTCTATAGAGAAATATGTAAGCCAAAATATGTAAGGCAGAGTATGTAGGATGAGCATCCAACTTGGAAGTTAGTAAGAAATGGTGGCAAAACTTTGAGGTAACTAGCAGAAAAAAAAAGCATGTAAGACATTTTAAAAGTATATGCAAAAATTGTTTCCTTATAACTATGTCCTCTTTTTCCCAGAGATTCCTTCAGTCGAATGAGCCTTCGCAAAATGGATCTCTAAACCCAATGCACTTGTTTTATTCATCTGGAAAGAGCCATGTATTCAACATTGAGTGTGAAAATATCTATTGGAAAACAACATGGAATGGAATTCTGGAAATTAATTATTCATTGAATAATAGAGTGACCAAGAAAATATCAAATGTAGATTTACATTTGAGAATCATGGCTATGGTCTCTAATGTTCTGGTAACAAGCTGTTATCGTTTAAGACAGTTTAATGACTCAAAGGTACACTATACATTTATCATTATTTATAC